TCCTTCACTAAATCTGAATGACCTGTCTGTCAACCCCCACGCTGTTTCTGGCAATACACGACCATGTACCGCCGTGAAGGGAGGGCTGAAAATTATCAATTCGAACTGTTGCACGGTCTAAGTATGATGAAGAAATTGGCATATAAGACTGCCCCATCACCTGAAATTTATTTGATGACATTTATCAAATAAGTGGATACATTTGCATTGATAATTCTTAAAACACGTTTTAATATTCTTACACAGATCGATAAAATAATATAAATAAAGCAAATAACAGATTTACTTCAATTTTTCGTAAGAAGTATACATATCCATGTACGTTTCATCAACAGAAAGGTTAACACTTTTATCAATCTGAGACAGGACAAAAAACGAAATTTAGTTGATGTTTAGACTATGTCAAAAAGCAAATTATATTTTATTACATTTATCGATGTTGATGAAAACAAAGCAGTAGTGCAAGCAGTTAGCAATACGTAACTTGTAGGGGAGTATAAATCTATTTGTCTAGTTTTTCGTGAAAGGGTTTAAAAATATTTATACACATTTCATGCAGCAGCATAGACAGGGAATATATTGTTCGATACTTACGACACGGCAATTACTCTTTTTTAAAAAAATAATAGCGAGCAAGATATTATTCCTTCCATAATTCTTAGTAATCAAGCATTGACACGTGTACATAACTCACATCTGTATAGCTCCAGTAGATAGATGGAGCTGGATACCCAGTAGCATCACAGTGGATATCCACCCTGTGTCCCGTCTGTGGATGGTTGGGAGAAACCACAACTGACGTAACACGAGCCTTTTCTGTAAACGGAATTAATATCTATGTATTGACAAATTATTATTTTAACGGTAAAATAGTTTTTATCACATCTTCCTCATATGATTTGTTTTGTTTGCAAAATAAACTGAACGAAACTAAATATGAATTTGTTAAATTAAAACTTACCACAATGACACGGTGGTATTTATCTACATTTTTATATATTACAATAACATTATATTTTAAGACATGATTTTTAACCAAGCGACATGGACTAAACTATACCGCCAGAGTAAGCAAGCAATCCACTACAAATTTTCAAAACATGTACTATCATACGTATTTTCAATCGATAGTAATACTTGATTTCATTACAGATTTTATTACAGTTTCTCCCACCCACAATTAACAACCAGAGATTAGAAATTGTTCTCGCCCCAACATCCAGGGTTCAGCACCGTACTCGATTTGAACTGAAACAAATGATCGACTGGTGGAAATTTGAATTATTTTGATTTTGGGACAATTTCTTTATAATCCTTTGGGGTTTTTTTTCCAATGCATTGCTTTTCGAGCACTGCATTACAATATAGGCCGATAATATTTGTTGGGAATAATATAATTTAAGAAATTTAATTACGCACACTCATATCCTTAAAGCCGTTATTTAATTCTCATATATATAGTTTAATACAAACAATACTATCATACAGGTTAGAGAAATTAAATTCGTACTCTACGGAGTTTCGAACCCAGGTCCGCGAGTAAATGGCACCCATCGCCTTGCCTGCACTCACCAACCCATATGCCATCACGACTAAGCACGCATCACCAAAAACATGATGGCACTGAATCGTTGTTATATAAGCTCGTGCGTAACAGACACACTCGCATGACAACCTAGTAATTAATTCTCATATATACATACAGTCGTTCCTGATTCCTATTTAAGGTATATAGGATTTTTGTATTACAAATAATTATAAATATATAACAGACAGAACAGACTTTGCTATCCCTATTATTTCTGCCCACTATTATCAAGATTCTACTACAGAATCACAGAATCCAGGGATAGCACAGTCTGTTCTGTCTGATATATATATATATATATAGATATATATATATATATATATATATATATATATATATATATATATATATATATATATATATATATATATATATATATATATATATATATAGGCAGAAAATATTTCACGTTTGCTTAGGTCAGGCCTAGATTATATTTGTCCTGAATTAATATGGAATGAAAGATATTAATTTTAACTTGAAAATGAATATTTTCCGACAATACATTCTTCTCATTATTACTTAGCAAGACACTTCAAATCAATATGACTTCTTAGCAGTTTCTGAACGCTTATAAGTTTCAGTTTAACATCATCTAGCTGTGTAGCTTTTCGTGGGTCGGTGGTTCTTTCCGCGGATTTCCCGGTTTCTTCCTCCATCATTAATACTGGCCGCCATATATAGCCTATCGTGTGCTGAAAAATGGCGTTAAGCCCCAGAACAACAACAACAATCGTCTAGCTGTGCCAGGTGGTTTAATTTGAATAGAGAATATACCACGCCGCTGGCTGAAGGAAACCACTAATAATGAGTCATAACAGAACATACCAGTAAATTTCGACACTATAGTGTTTCTTTATCGTAGATTAGATGATATTGCATAAACCCGATATTTCAAACGGAATGTTACTATCACGAATGTAAACGTAAAACAAATTACCTGATATGATGGTTACATTCGTCTTGCTAAATGCTTGCAGGCCGTTCTTGTTTATTACACAAGTGAATGTTCCGACATTTGACGAGTTAGCACCGATTATAGCAAGATGGTTTCCACCAATGATTGACACTCCATATGGAAGTGACTTGCTCTGAAATTCAGTTATATTATTTTGCAATATGTCTTCTTGCTCAGTGATGAATTTAATGAAACTGAATAATGTCATCCGGAACTACGATCCATGTTTTTATTTCTCTATGTGTATTAGCCAATGAGTTAGCAAAAACATATTTTAAACATTTCATAAAGCTTTGCAGTCATAAAATTATTTCTGATCGAAAACATATGCCTGTATTATGTTATAGACATATGTTAATGATTGTAGCATTATTCTGAAAACGCGCTGTGTATTATAAAAAAAAAGATTTAGAAAGGTTTGCGTTTGAAAAAATTGTGAGATTATAACCCATTAAATTAAAATACTTAGAAATTGAACAGTCTATGAGTCGAGGATTTTTCTTTCCAAACACTGGCTATTAGGCGTATAATATCTTGATAATTTATGACTCATAACAGTTTCAAAATTTATGATAAGAAAGGAATGTTTGCTAACATTGCTTCACCCCAATATCTAAATATTAATATCAATGTTCAGTTTAACTGCACAATAGGACTAAAATATTATTCACTTTTGATGATGGTTGAGTAAGAGACAGAATTTGAATCCGGAGCTTTTCCGATATGAGTTCAATACGCTGAACACTGAGACTTTGTGATTCTGTGACCTACGGGTACCTGCATCAAAACAGCATTAACTAATAAGGTAAATACAAGCAACAATAATTATATAGGAATTTATTTGAATGCATAGTTGAAAAAGAAGAAAAAATATTTAAGGTTCTCTTCCTCAGCATTTCTTATGTGTTAAGAGTTGTGTTTTGTGTTTGTGGTTTTCGTGAGTATCTGCGTTAGACACGCGGAATCCGTATTTCCCCAAATCGGCTGGGCTAGGGTACCTTAGGTGTTGCGCTGTATGTTGTTCAAATATGAATCTGATAATCTACAGAGTCGAAATTCTTTCCTGTTTCAATGCTAATACGTTTACCGCTTTTGCAGCTATCTGCCAATGTGCAGTATATATCTATATTTATAGACTCTCCCTCACATCACGTGGCCTTAACTAGCCAATCGATGCTTGTCCTCCTCAGGGTGAGTTATAGCAGTAACCATGACAAAATGGATTTAAAAACAAATTTAATACAGAACAAAGTTCTTCTCTCAATGTTCGTGGCCTGCGTACTTGCTTTCATGAAGAGAAACTTCAGTACTCCAAGATCAAATATACTAAAATGTCAGCTGCAATGATATTTTCAATATTTTCTGAACACACTTTTGTATCTTGCACACGCGTCACCGATTAGATGAATGCGCTTTATGCCAAAGCGTTATTGTCTTGGGTTTTTGAGAGCGGGTGTAGATAAGTTCGGTACGAAATGTGCATCTGCAGTTATTTTGGTTACTGAATACCAAGGGACATAACTGTCATACAAGTATACCATGGACAAAACTTATCTCAAGATTAGGTTGCACGTTTTATTTTAGAACTTTCATTTTACGACTGCTTACAAAATGCAACATTCCAGAATTGTTATTTCTAGAAGGTTCTATTTGCCATGAATTATTATCGTGTTATTTGCCTTGTATTTCGTGCTTGATACTTTGTATTATTTTACTTGTAGAAAGAAGAAATAGTTGGCTAAGAGCGTTTAGAGCAATACACTTTGTTTATATATTTCTGTTCCTTTAAGGGGTTATGATATCACATTTAGGGGTTAAAATTTCATTATAAACTTTTGAAATCTTTCAAAATGGGAGAGTAATGAAATAATTTACATGCGTTTTCCATATTGAAAGACATTGAAGACAAAAAATACATCAGGTAAACACAAGATGAGGGAGGGGGTATCGGAACCAGTTTATTTGTACAAATTACGTTTTAAAATGACCCTCTGGATCATATTTTACATAGCAATAGCCGTACTTTTTGAGTAAACAGTTTTAGGAGATGTTATACGTTTCTTGCACACATAACCGATATCATACTATTGTCTTATCCTTGCAAGATATGCGTTATCAAGTCTAATAGCTTAGCATCAGAATGTTGTGTCAAAACAGCATGCTAGTCTGAAATCAAAAGTCTGATTAGACAATTTATGATATGCTGCAAAACGAGCTGTGTGATTATGACTTTTAACGTAGCTTTACCAATTTTTCAGTCATATTGCTACGATGTCTGCAGTGTGGCAGTTTTTAGTGATGTCTAACACTGGGGCATCATGCCGCAGACATGTAGCATGATGTCCCACCCAGGCACATTATCCTGACACCATACCGACCAGTCCTAACACTAACCTCATAATGCTGAGTGTCAAGTGAGACAGCTGATAGTACCATTTTTGTAAGTCTTTGTTATGACTCGACCGAGGATCGAACCCACGACCTCCCGCATCCGAAACGGACGCTCTAACCACTAGGCCACCGTTTATCAGAGTTGGGTATGTAATTTATGTTTATGTAGGTACCAAGTCAAGCGAACTTCTCTTCAAGGTAAATAACATATATGTTCTTCGCTCTGATGTCATTGAACCTAAAATCGTTTATATAATAGTATACACGATGAGCAGACTGGCATCATCAGAAATGTCTTTTTAACTGTGTCATGTGACCTTAAATTCATTTTCTTAAACTGTTTTAAGCAAGAGTGTTGACAATGAAAAAATAATTTCCATACTCCCTGATATAGCCATGTGTAGGTTACCCCTGGTTCGTTTGAATTACAAGATAATATTGTGTCGGCGTTGAGGCTGATCGTCATCTGTCCAGATATAAGTGGAGGTTGAAGGGACGAAATTGTATTTGTTGGCAAGGTTATGTGAGCTTGGGCCGGAAATTTGGTTGTTAGCAAGTGCGTGGCAGCTGTAATGGAAATATAATTTATTATGTAATTGAGGATTTAGACGAACAAATTACTAATGAACCTAAAAATCCGTCTTTATCAGATATAGATTTTGGCCTTGAAACATTTGTGTCTGTTCCGAATAGGAGATATTGGTCATTATATTAAGTCCAAGACTACGTTCAAGTTGTGTTCAGTTTTCTTAAGTTATAAATAATAATAATAATAATAACAATAATAATAATAATAATAATAATAATAATAATAATAATAATAATAATAATAATAATAATAATAATAATAATAATAATAATAATAATAATAATAATGTGTCTATTTGTAATACATTGGTCTATGATACATATCAATACATGAACCGGTACAAAAAGATATTTAAGAAATTGTTATGTATGCAAGCAATCAGCTATTAAATATTATATATATATATATTACACAGTAACCACACAGTACAGAGTGAAAAAAAAACTAACGCCTTCAAGGAGCAAACTGACGCATTCAAAGTTAAAACCAGACGATGAAGACCCCAAACACACTAGAATCATTCTTGAACCAGGACGAAGCAGGAAGAGATCCAGAAAAGAGAACTTTTCGAAGGTGGGGAAATAATCTGGCTGAAAATGTAATTATAAGACACACGTAAGAAACAATCAGAGCTTCGGCATTCCCAAGCTCCAGCTACGTAACCAAAGGTTTGATCAATAAAGGAGTAAGAAGACAGCAAAAAACAAACAAACAAAAAAACAAAACAAAACAAACAATAACAAAAAACCCAAACAAATAACGGATGTTAGCAAACTATAACCTGTCTGGAAGATCGGAGGAAAACAGATGAAAAGTACAGAACCTTTTATGAGGCAGAAACGAATAGCCATGGACAGTACGCCAAGGAAAGCGATGAAGAATTTGGAAATGTATCCTTTATCCAGGGAGATGATCATTCCAAATGAGAACGAAGCAAAGAATTGTTTTTCAACACGGAAGATGCGAGGAGTGCGCAACATAATTAAAGGAAAGAGATACACAATGACAAGTTGAAAAATGCACTGTACAATAAGTGAGTCATACGTAGATGGATGAAGAAGAAAAATCAACCATCGACAATTAGGTGAAAACAAGTCCATGAAGATAAAATCAAGAAGTCTAACTATTGTAACGAATGTGGAGATATGGAAAAAAATGTTTCAGAATCTATAGTAGTAGGTGAAAAGGCTGATTCTGGCGCAAAAGTTATCCCCATCCTCAAAACAAATACAAATTACTTCTCTTAAGACCTTAAAACACCAAAGTTTTTTCACCTACACAAAAACTAAAGGCTGATAATTGTATAAGGTAATTACCTCTCTCAGTAGATGAAAAGGCTGATAATTGTATAAGGTAATTACCTCTCTCAGTAGATGAAAAGGCTGATAATTGTATAAGGTAATTACCTCTCTCAGTAGATCAAAAGGCTGATAATTATACCAGAACGGTGCAGGTCAGTTCACAAGTAAGTGATATTATATCTCATCACCAATGATTAATGTTTCAACTGATGATATTAAAAATATTTCATTATCGCGGCTCAATTTAATATTGGACTTACCCGGCTGTATAAAATATGGACTGATGCATCCGGAGATGGAAAATTTCCAGGAGGGTTAGCAGGTACTCAAGCGGGTCAAAATTTAACAAAAAAAAATAAATAGCATCAACGAAAAGTTAAAAGAAAAACGGCAAACGTGTAAAAGTTTACAGACCAAGCATGATGAAATAACCAGCAAAGCTCTCAAAATGAAAAATGAACTAGCTGTACGGCAAGAACTGATCAACAAACTGACGTGTGAGATACAACGGCGAGATCATGTCGTACAACTGTATGAAAAAGCAGTAAATGAAGTTCACGACGTTGAAGAGACCATTGCCAGGTTAAATACCACCATCGAAGATAATAAAATAATCATAGATGATTTAACATCAACGATAAATGAACAACATGAAGAAATCAGCCGACTTGAAAGAATCAGCGCAGACAACAAAGTTGTCATGAAAACGCTAGAGTGGGAATCGTTAACGATTCCACCAAAGAAGAAATCTGTTGAACAAATACTTACTGAGGCGTTACTGAAACCTAAAGATCACTCGTAAAACCACTAGTGGTTTCAAATTCTCAATCATCAGTGATTTTAAATGTTTTGTTGATCAGTTCGTTATACGCGTACGGGTAATATTCACCATCTGGTTCACTTTTGATAAATTTTTTGTGAGTTTTGCGAAAATTATTGTTTAATGCTGCTTTTCTCGTTATGCTGTACAAGTAAGGATAATATTCTCCATCTGGTTCACTTTTGATGAGTGATTTATTGGCGTTAATGTAGTGGTTGAGCAGATCTCTTTCTCTTTTAATAAATTTATCAGGGAGATCTATTACGTCAATATCATCTACTGGTATATACCCTGGAGAAGTATATAATTGTATAAGATTTTCAGCATGTTTCATCTAAACTTCTCGGAGGATTTCATGGAGATCACTTGAAAATTCGGTCATTATATAATATAAAAAAAAATTTATATATCTAATTGATTTTATGTTATATCATACTTCTTTTGATAATCTTTCTCATATTTGCTGATCCTCATGGGTAGAATATCTGTTAACATATTGTCAATAATACGAAATTCACGTATTAAATCGTCCATACTATATTTTACTCCTCGTAGGTAAGATCTTATTTGATCAAGTAGTTTTTTGTAAGTTATAATTGATGTTAAGCAGCCGTGCTTTTTTATCAAAATTTTAGGTTCAACTTTTTTACAAGCTGCTGTAAGAGAAACACCAACACCGGATATGATTAACAAAAACGGGTTTAATGATATACCACTTGAAATTATGCCAGAACTAGTCATTAACAAGGGTAGATATGATATTACTCGAAGGATCTTGTTATAATATTTGTAGCATTTTTTTACGCACCAAAGTTTTTTGTGATAATATTTGTAGTATTGTATTAGTGCGTCAACATCCTGTCCTGGAATATCTTTTGAAATATGATTGAAATCAACTATGCTTTTTTTCATTATAATATTTGTTCACATAATCTCAGGCTTGATTAAGTAACTAGTTGAGGTGTTTCAGCCACAAATTCCAGACAATACCAATATGACGCAGCAGTTAATTTTTTGTCATCTGCTATTAGCATAAAAGTTTCTTCAACATCTTTGTTTAACACAATAGACACAGTTCCAGAGAAATTATCAGTCGAGTGACGCCATGGAAATAAAGTAAATATATTAAACTTTGCACTGCTCAACACGGACAATCTATACACACCAGTGACCTCTGCAGTATGTTTGAGAGTGTTATTTTGCGGCGACCAAGTAGACATTCCAGAAGCAACAGTATAGACAATATTTTTAATCTGCTTGTGAGGAATTTTAATCATACTTGTTTTCTCAACAATACTAGGAATTCCACTAATGATATCGTTGAGTTTTGTGTTAATATTATCGAGTGTAATATCAACAGATGGCGGACTTCCAAAAAATTCGTTATTGGTTTTGTTTATGTTTCTGCGAAAATTTAAAAACGTGGTGATGTGATTAGTAAAATCAGTTTTGAACTCGGTGATTTCATTGTTGATATCATCAACATATTTCTTTGTTACAGCATCAAAATCAAACTCTGGTGTTCTAAGATTATTGATGCCATTATTGTTCACGTTGAGAAATGCATGCATTATACCGCCACGCACCGACACGTACTTTGATTCCTGATTATCAACATATTTCTTAGTAGCAGCGTCATTATCCTCAGTTGGGTTTTCAAGGTATGTGATCTTGTTCTGGTTCATAACAATGTTTCCCGTAAATAAATCACCTGCTTTTCTAACATAATCGTTAACTGACCTACCCGAATCTTCTATCTTACCTTGATTATTAAAAGTAGCAATATTATTAGCAACTGCAGTAGGATTTCGTACTAGTACATCTGATAGTTGTACATTACTCGTCTTTAATCGTCCTTGTTTGTCCTGGAAAACTACAACTTCATTTGGATCTACACTTGCAACGTTTAACAAATTGTTGATTTCATTTTTGAGCTTATCAAGAGTTGCATACTTGGATAAGTCACCCTGGTAACCTTCTGTTAATACATCTACTGCTAATGTTCCAAATTTTGTATAGTAGCTCATTATACATACCGTTCTACACAAAATTGTTGGATTAATATAACATAACATTATACGATGGCGAAGATAATAAACTTTGACAAGGGGTGGAATTTTAAAAGAAAATTTTTTACACTTGATAAATTTCGTGTAAAAACAGGAAAAGGTGTGAAAATATTTACATCAAACGCAGACATAGTCGATCGGCTAATGCTGTTGATATCCTCTAAAGAAGCTGGTAATGAAAGTGTAGAGATTGATAACGAAATTATTGATATACTTGATCATCTAAGATCGAGTGGATTACTAACAACATCCGATTACGAAATTTTACACCGCGATCTTATCTAAAATATTAGTATAATGCAAACAACATTATTGCTTGATTCGTCACAAATAACAGGAAACAGCGCGAATTTTACAGTAAATTA